CAGGAAAAGTAACTTTCGTTATCATGGAATTATAACAAAACCTGCCAATTCAATATAAATGGAAAAAAAATATTATATGGAATTGAACGAAAATGAAAATTTGCTTGATAATTCAACTACGCTTGTTGGAGAACAATAAAAACACTACACTCAACAAGCCACCAATAAAACTCAACTGCCTAACCTATAACCAAAGTCTCCTTTTAATTTGTTTTTAAAAAAAGCGCTTGACAAACTTGCCCCGGTCTCCCCTAAATTCACTTAAATGAAATGTTAAATTACTAGCTGTTATTTAATTATAAAATATCTTAGTTGTGATAATAGTTTATAAGAAAAGAATTTATTTTAAAATGTTTTTATAAATTATTAAAAAATTACAGTTATGTAAGAGCTGTTTTGATCCCTATATAATCCAAACAGATATCCAGGACTATAGTAAGCATATGCTAGTGCTATAGCTTCTTCCATTGTTGATTTTGAATTATCGTTTTCAGAAAGTGGCCAACCGTCCAAGTTAGCTGCACTTAAAATGCCATGAATAACCTGTTTCATATCGCTAGCTGTAATTTAAGTAAAGGATTATAAATGTTTTGCATTTAATTATTCAAAATCAATGTAATACATACGTTTATTTAAACACGATTGATAATATTTCTTTAGTTTTTTGACGAATTCTGGATCATTAAACTTTTCTGGTTTCTCCAGCTGTTCTGAATTTGCATTTGTTGTGTATGAAAATTATTATTATACTTATTAAAATTAATATGTAGGCTACATTAAAGTAACGCTTACCTTTTTGTAAATAAAGGATATAATTTTCTAAATTTGTAAAACTACGTATTTTTTCGTCGTAAATGTTTTCGTATTTCAGATAAGATCCGCATGAAAATTCATAAAAGTTGTCGCATGGATCGACGGTAAAGTCCATATTCTTTAGAATGGAACCAGCTAAAATAATTTAGAGTTGTGTAAACAAAATATATCGGATTTATTGAAATTAAATTACATTTAATTGTATTCCATTAACCAGCAAATTAATTTTATCAGTTAAATGTTTTTAGTTGTTTTTGTACTCATAACGGAATATTCGAATATTACATACATAAATCGAATTACGGCATCGGAATTTCGAATTAATTGTTAAAACATTTTACATCATGTCTCAAATTTGAAACATTAAATAGCTCTTATATTCATATTACAAACTACAATTTGTATAAAATGCACAATGAACGCAATCATAAAAATACTACCATTGAAAAATTTCTAAAATTTTTAAACACTGCCAACAAAATTAATTATATTTACCTGCTATTTATATGTGATGATTTATATTCTCGTGGTCTCTGCTAGGCACAAGATAAATGTCATATTATATATTTCCACGCATGAAGGGTAATTCGTACCGCAATCCTGTGAGTTCCAATGAATTTTCTCCACAATCCTGTCTTCCAATGTGTTTTATGATGTTCGAAAAATCCTCGCATTTACAAAATATAAGATATTGTTTCGGACTGTAAAAAGAGTGGCTAATGCGGATGTATATTTTTCCTTTTCTTTGCATCTCACTCATGCTGTTTAATTCTAATGGGAAAGTTGTATGATGTATATATACCCTATCTAGCTGTTAATACAAGTTTCGTTGCGTATTATGAATGATATTTCATGAATTACTGATGCAGTGGGTTTATTCAGTGTACGGCATTAAGTAGAATGTGGTATTCCTAAAGATTATGCCTGAAAACCAATAGTATGTTTTGTCTTAATAAAATGTGAAAATCTGCGAGTTCGAGTTGCTTACTCCAAACCCTGGTTGCTGCGTCGGCTATTGAAGTCCGCTCACTTTGTTAGTGGAAGGCTATAAAGTTTAAATTAATTTGTCTCAAAGATCGTGAGATCTTTTTGACACCAGGCTCCTGACACCAGTTGGGATAGTTCGAAAGTCGCGTCCTAACTCGCGATTATAAATTTCTATTCTTAAAGATATGTTCGAATAGGTGGGTTTTGTAGTTCGAGTCGGAAGAGTCAGTGAATTCGTCGATAGGGTGACCGACATCAAAATAATTTGCAATTGAAGCCAAGTTAACATATAACAAAAGTTTAATGAATACAATAAAGTAGTGATTAAATACAAAAGGGGATTAAAATATCTCTATATCGATAAACTAGCTAAATACGCCTCTGATAGAAGAGTGAGAGTTTACATTAAATTGTGCATAATACCTCTTGTTAAAATGATGATGTCTTCGGCCGAAGGCCAATTTCTATCGTCAGGACGAGGAATGAGAAACTTCACTGATCGGTGGGTTCAGTGGAGAGACAGGAGAAACTGGAGACGAGGAGAGCGAGTGACGTGGACTAGACAAGGGGAATTCGAGGAGAGAGCTAGGCGAGAGAGCCTTGAGAACGGGGTTTTTACTCTTTTTATCCCAAATTCGCCTCCAATCAAGTGTTAATTTGTTACCAGTGTGACGGGATGTTAGAAATGACTCTAACTAGGAGATGTTCATCAATATGGGCGATAAGATCTCGCCACGGGAAGTTGATAAACTGAAAAAAGTGTTATTTCCCCTTTTCCATTAAATTCCCACGAAAGAAAGTGTAAAATTGCACGTGTTTCTTTCTAACTAAATAATATTTTCATTTATTAAATAATTAAATCAGATTCTAAATAAATCTTCTCAATCTAAGAAAAGGCTCTTATTCTAGATCTCCAGATTCTCACGAAAATAT